CTAGCCAGCTTCCCACCACACTTGGCCCCATCCTAGACATGTTCAGACAGGCTGTGGGCTTCTTGGTTGTCCAGTCAGTTGAGGAGGGGGCGCTGGTATGTTGCCACAGCCAGGCACACCCAAAATCTTGCACCTGCCTCCTTCCCGCCCTGCCCTACCCCCACCCCCCAGCCCTCACGCAGCAAGCCCACCTCACTAGACCTGTGGTCTCACCATGCCCCATGTCTCCAGGTTCTCAGGGCCCCCAGGGGGAGTCAGTCCCCTACCCCGGTGCCCACACCTGACCCTGGGCCAAAGGCTCTGCACACATGAGCTTCTCAAAACCACAGATGAAGAAACTGAGGCTCAGAGAGGCCTCCCAGCTGTCCACTGGCAGGTGGGACTCATTCTGCCAGGTTCCTAAACCCAGGTGCTCCACCATTCTGTGGCTAGCCTCCATAGTCCACCAGGACTTGCTCTTCCTTATTCATTCACCAAACCTCTCCAAGGCCTCCAGGGAACTAGGATTTGGGGGACAAAGCTACAAGAAGGGTGAGGAGGGACATTCAACTTGCCAGACTTGACACCTTTCCAGATCGTCTGGAAGGATGGTCCCTGTGGGTATGTAGGGGGTTCCCCATGGTGCTCTGGGGAGGGAGGGGAGGACAAGGCAGGGCGGGGCCTGGCTCTCAGCCCCGCAGGGTCAGAACAACACTTCCTGCTCACTTTGACGCTGGCACTCCCGCCCAGAGCAGGCAAGTGTGGGCCCAGGTGCGCAGTCCCTGCTGGAGAAATTCTCAGGTACGTCCAGGCTGCCCCCTGGTGGTGGCGTGTGGACACATGGGTCTTGTGGCCGTTCTGGATGAGGCCCACACCAGTTGGTGGGCACCTTTTCCCAATCCCTTTCCCCCTTCCTGGGCCACTGCCCTCCAAGTTTCCTGAAACGTGCAATTCCTCATTATCCTCATGCCTTCTTAGGACCTTGGATTCTGTTGTGGCCCAGGATGCCCTCCCCCTCCCTGGGCGCTATTGTCCACATCCTTGTCCCACTGGGGCATGGCCTCCTCCCCACGGTTACCTCCCCAGGCCCTGTGGTCAGAATGAGCAAAGCCTTCCTCTTTCTACCAAAAGCCCACTGCTCTGTTGTGGTGCGTAGGGCAGCCTGGCTTGTGGTGTGAATGCGCAGGGTGCAGGCTGGGTCTGATCCTAGCCCAGGACTCACTCCCAGAGGGTGGTTACAAACTGCTTGTTCATTCACCCAACCAACAGTTATTGAGGACCTACTATGTACCAAGGTACATCATGTTTTTTCATAAGATAGAACCCATTGCCATCAAGTTGATTCCAACTCATGACGACCCCATGTGTTACAGAATAGAACCGAGTTCTATAGGATTTTATTGGTCTTTACAGAAGCAGCTCAGCAGGCCTCTCTTCTGTGGTGCTGCTAGGTAGATTTGAATCCCAACCTTTTGGTTAGTAGCCAAGCACAAACCATTTATGCCACCCAGGAAACCAACACACATTTATTAGGGACATGCTATGGGCTGGTTGGTACACAGTAGAACGTCACGGTTGGTAAAGTAGAAGATCAGCAAAAACAAGGGAATCCCTCAATGATATGGATTGACACAATAGCCATAACAATGGGCTGCAACATATCAAAGATCATGGAGATGGCACAGGACGGAGCAACATTTTGTTCTCTCATGCATAAGGTTGCCATAAGTAGGCGACTACTTGAAAACAACTGTTGTGGATTGAACTGGGTCCTCAAAAAATATGTGTTGTAAATTCTAACGTCTATGCCTTTGGTTATAGTCCCATTTGGGAATGGGTTGTCTTTGTTATGTTAACGAGACAGGATTAGTGTAGGATGTGTTTTGAGTAAATTTCTTGCAAAATATAAAAGGAGGAGATTAAGAAAGCAGAGATGAGGGACGAGAGATGCCAAGACACATGAAGATCACCCAGGATCAGAAGCTCCAAGAGACAAGGAACTTCCTCCAGAACCAACAGAGAGAGAAAGCCTTCTCCTAAAGCCAGCATCCTGAATTCGGACTTCTAGCTTCTTAAACTGTGAAAAAATAAATTTGTCAAAGCCACCCATTTGTGGTAGGTAGTTCTGTTATAGCAGCACTCTGTAGCTAAGACAGTAATTAACAGCAACGCTGTGTGCCAGGCAGTGAATGAGCTAGAGGAGGCCTCTGCCCTGTAGAGCAGCAATATGCCAAGCGGGGCACTGGGGAGCAGAGTGGGCAGTACAAGTTCATGGCAGTGACATGGACTAATATGGGCTGTTGGGAAAAAGGTGAGTAACCTTGTAGGATGATCACACAAGGTCACACACAAGGATGTCTATGGTGTAAAATGAAGTAAGAAGTGGCAGAGCTGCATGGGCAGGCCAATCCTGGTTGGAGTGACTTTGTGGTTCTCATGGGATGATAGCCCTCGTGCTTTATTTTGAGAGTACATAAATTCAAGTTTCTAGTCTCTTGCAAAGGAGCCCTGGTGGCACAAAAGTTCGAGAGCTTGGAGGTTCAAACCTACCAGGGGCTCCGAGGGAGAAAAGACCTGGTGATCTGCTCCCATAAAGATTACAGCCTTGGAAACCCTGTTGGGCAGTTCTAGTCTGTCCTTTAGTGTTGCTATGAGTCAGAATCGGCTCTATGGCCTACAATAACAGTCTCTTCCTACGGGGCAGTGGTAGAATTCTCACTTCCATGCAGGAGAACCAGGTTCAATTCCAGCCAACAAACCTGTCGGTCAGTGGAGGCTTGTGTGTTGGTGTGATACTGAACAGGTTTTAGTGAAGCTTCCAGACTAAGAGGGACTACAAAGAAAGGCCTGGAGATCTACTTGAAAATCAGCCAATGAAAACCCCATGAACCACAACAGTTTGATCTGCAACCAATCAACCAATCATGGGGATGGTGCAAGACCAGGCAGCATTTCGTTCCGTTGTGCATGGGGTCACCATGAGCTGGGGCTGACTCGACAGCAGCTAACAAGTCTCTTGCTAGATTTTAGTTGCTTTTCTGGAATCATACTCGTCCCCACCCCTCAGCCCTGGGTGGTCCACAAGCCCCCCTGACCTGGCACCCATGAGCCACGAAGAAGTTGTCTTGTTTCTCCGTCCTGTCCTCAGGCTCCTCTTTGGAGGTGGACTCACCACGGGTCTGGTGCTTTGAAAATGGCGAAAGCTGATGCTCTCAGCTGTACTCAGCACTGGGGCTGTGGGGCATTGGCACAAAAGGAGGAAAGCAGTGGCTGCCTGTGGAGGCTAAGGGGTCCCCTTCCTCACTCAGTGGCTCAGAGCCCCCGAGCCTGCTTTCCCACCTGTAAAGATGAGTCACTGAGCCTGCCAGGAGACCAGCCTGGCCCATAGTTGGGGAGGAATGAGGCAGGCTCTCCCCTTACTGAGCCTACTGCCTTCTGCTCACAGTGGTCAGTTCACATGAGCAGGCCCATGGCACCCCCATCAGTGCATGTGTTCTCTGAGGATAAGGCAAGAGTGTGCCAGGCTGAAACACCCCTTGGTCCTGCCCCTTCCATGTTCCCAACTTGAGCCCCAGGGACAGTGTGGTGGAATTCTTGGGACTCAATCCACCAACTTCCCGCAGACCAGGCTGTGCTCCAGTCCTTCCTGTCCCTTCCCCCAGGGGGCTGGCTGTGGGAAAAATGCTGGCTTCCCATACTGCCTTTGTAAGTGCAGATGCAGCCCAAAGGCAGGACTCCAAAGAGGGCATGGCCACCAGAGTTGTCAGCCCAATCCCTGCTGGGCGCCCCCATGCCTCCGCCCAGAGGCTAAGGCAAGGATCTGGGGATCACACAGTGACTCCAGGGTGCCCAGTACAGGGCAAGCTGTGGGCAGCCTCCTTGTTGGAGCTGGGGACACTGGGCACACACACCCAAGGTCTTTAGAAACCCTCCATGGGGACCCATCGCTGAGTCAGCAGCCTTCTTAGCAGTCCCCTTCATAACTAAGCCAGGAACTGCGCCGCTCAGAAATGCCCTTCCTGACATCGTTGCTGGGCATCGAACAGAAGCCAGGACAGATGATGCGTCTGCTTGGACCTCCCATCCCCACCCTCCCAGAGGGCCTAGGAAGACCATGAGGGAAGGCAACTCCCAAGCTCTGTGACCTTTGACAAGGGGAGCTCCTCTGAGCCTCAGGTGGCTCACCTATAAAATGGGGCAAAGAAGGATATGCCCTCCTGGGAGGGGCCCTCCGAAGCTCCTGGGGGAAAATGGCAGCCATTAAAGCCATGTGGAGTGGATCACCAGCCAGAGACGTCCACCCTTCCTGCCACCAAGGGCTCACAGTGACGCAACCAGCCCACGGATGCACTCAAGGAGGCCTTGCCCTGCTGAACCTCGGGGCCTGCCTCTCAGCGCAGCTGGCGGCCACACCCTCTGCTGCCCGGCTGGCTGGCAGACCCCGAGCTGGGCTCACCCCAAAGGGTCCAGGGGTGCCCTGTGCTCCCTAGCCAGGCCCCCGGACAGAAGAGAGATGGCGGGGAAGGTAGGCTTGTGTTTCCTTTGTGTTTTAACTTCTAAAATATTATTTTTTCTCTGTGAACATTTTAATGAGGGGCTGAACATGAGATAGGAAAATAACATTCTAATCACTTTTTTTTTTAAGATGTAGACTTTTCTTGAGACTTTCATACAAGGAAATGGATGAATAATGTCAAACTCCTCAAGAAAACACATATTGACCACAGAAAAAGGCACCTCTTAAAATACCTATTATTGTTACCTACGACTCTATAACAGTCCAACAGACTCTTGGGGCTTCGAGTTTTGTTTTCTTTTGGAAACAACTAGACTTAGACCTAAGCCCTGCCACTCTCAGGAGCGAGGGGACACGTCATGGTGCCATCAGTTCGAACCGTGGCACTTGGGGCAGATGCTGCTGATGGAGACTATGGGGGTGGGGGTGTGAAGGTCCCAGTGCTTGCTGTCTTCTTGGGCTGGAGGTGGGGGGCCAGAAGCTCTACTCCGGCTGGATCGCTTACTCACTCTGCGTGGAAGGACATGTGATCCAGGAGGTGGGCTGGGACGAGGCCCCGGTGGCCTCCTGACTCCCCATAGTAGAATCCCTGGTCATCCACAGGCCCATAGACTGTGACCATGTCCCCTGCCCTCAGAGACAGCTTGCCCTTTGCCCGGCCCCCTGCTTGCCTGTCTCTGGGGTCATAGTCCTGAGCGGCCATCATGGTCTTTGGAGTCCACAGTGGGGATCTCTTGGTATTCCCTTGGGCCGTGGAGAAGGAGCTCTGGTGGCCAGTGAGCCCCCCAACGTCTTCCAGGGAGGCCACAGAGCTCAAGTGCCCTTGAGCCGGCAGATGCCACCTCCCATTGGTCCACTCCCTGCCCACCTTTGCCTCTGCCACCAGGTGCCCAGGGATGTTGCCCACCTGTCCACCGTACTCACCACGGTAGAAGCCCTTGGGGTCTGGAGACCCCCACACCCTCAGTAGCTGCCCTTTCTGGAAGGCCAGCTCCTCCTCTGCAGCCTGGGGGCTGACAGACATCACCAGGGGGTCATAATCAAAGAGGGCCATGAAGACCCTGGCCAGAATGTCCGACTCCTGCCCCAGCCATGTGGGATAAACCCTAGACATCTTGATGACTTTGCTGGACAGAGTTGGACACAGCACCGAGTTCGGCTCATGGACCTGACTCTCTTGCTTGCCCCCAAATGCCTGTCCTCGCCCACTCTGGGCCCTGAGCAACTCCCTCTGCCCTTGCCGCTCCGTGCCCCACACATGGAAGCACACTTCTGTCTCTTCTGCCAACATTTTGTGGCAGTCAGATACATACTGCTGGCTGGGGCCCTGCTGGGCAGGGCCAGACACTTGAGCATCCTGCTTTTGCCTGAGGGCCTTCTCCAGGGAAGCCTTGCACTGACAGGGCACTTTCACGGGCCCACACTCGGGTGAAGGATGGACGAGTCCTGGAGCGGGGCTTTTGCTGGTGCCCACGTCCTGGTAGTGGTTTTCTTCCCCTGCAGACTGGCTGCCAGGTAGTGGTTGCCTGTGGTCCTGGATACTCTTTGGGAAGAGCAGGTCCTTCCTGCAGACCTCCCAGGCCTCTGGGATCCCCTGGGCTTGGCTGCCAGCCCCCGAACTTGGATACTCTCCTTCTGAACTCAGGGTGGGCACTGGGGACCACTTCCCTGGGGGTTCTTCAGGGAATGCTTCTAGAAACTCTGCCTGGGGCTCCCCACAGCTTCTAGGGGCATGGGGGTTGGCCTTGGCACTCAGAGGAGCCAGCGCTGGCTTCTGGGGGCAGACAGGGAAGGTGACTCTGCAGGTGGATGGGTCGCCAAAGGTATAGCCAAAGGGAGAGGTCTCCGTCAATTGGTGACATGTGAAACAGTCCTCCGGAATTTGGGCCGGCACCGAATCCAGGGACTCACCACAAAGGGACATGGTTCTCACTGAGACCTTCTGGCACGTCAAAGGTACTTGTAGAGAAAAGTCCAGCAGGGTGCTCCCAGCAGTGGCATCAGCCACTTCTGCAACCTTGAGCCCATCAGCATACACAGCATAGCCCGTGACTTGGACACCGTTTGAGGACCCAGCTGAGTTGATGGTCACAGGAAGCCAGCTGACCACCAGGAGGCCTGGCAACGAGTGGTGCTCCACCAGTACATCCAGTGGAGGGTCAGGGGGTCCAGCCAAGGGTGTGGCAAAGGTGATGGTGGAGGACATGGTTTCCCAGTGCACCTGCAGCAAGTCCCACGGCAGTCGTACCTCCACCCGCACCTGGTATCTGGTGGCGGGATGCAGGCTGTGGAAGGTGTAGCAGCTCACACCTGCTGGGGTCAGTGCATGCTCCTGGTCATCGAGGTACACCATGTGGGGGTGGCTGCTGCTGCTGCAGACCCAGGTGATCTCGACAGATGTGGATCTGACATTCTGCAGCCCTAGTTGCATGGGGGCCACACAGAGGGGCCCCCTGGCCCCTAGAAGGGCTCTGGAGAAGCCCTGCTCCTCTACACTCTGCAGCAAGCCCAGCCGGCGGGCTTCCATCTTTGTATCCAAGATCTCCACTGCCACTTCTGTCTTGGAGCCCGCATTAGCCACCGGGTGTGACCCCCTGTCGGCTGCAGCATGGGTTTTCCCTGGTAAGAAGCTGAGACTAGTGTCTTCCTGTGAAGCTTTGCTCTGTCTGGCCGGGAGCAGAATGGGGTCAAGGTTGGGGGACTTGGAGGGGAGGCAGCCCAGAATGTCACTGTCCAGGACCTGCTCCACCAGGTTGGAGGGCACAAGCCCCTGCCGGCCATCCTCAAGCTCCCCCTTATAGAAGCCATCCTCATCCATGTCGCCAAAGATGTAGACGTAGTCTCCAGCTGTGAGGGGCAGCTCCCCCTCAGGGTGCTCATTGGGCCCCTCAAATGGGTTGTAGCTATACCGGGCCAGGAAGATCTTGACCTTTGTGGTGGTGGGGGCCTCTAAGACCCCCATGTCCAAGGTCGGGGACACATTGTCCAGCTCCAGGTCATCCACCTCGCTTGCTGTGTCCAAGTCCAGATTAGGGCAGGACGGCACAGTGGCCCACATGGACTCCATCTCTGAGGAGGAGTTAGAGCTGGCTTTCTTGGCCTGGGGCCTAGAGTCTGGAGGCCAGTCTGCAGGGACTCCGGCTGGTACGTGGGGAGCACTGGCTGGCTCCCCAAGGGCAAATTGGCTCTCTGTCAGTGAGGCTTCCCTCATCTGCTTGTCCCTGCTGGGCTGGGACAGTGCTTGGTCTTCAAGCCCTTGTTGGAACTTGGGCCTTCTGGTGCCCCAGGCTGGGGACTTAGGGACTTGGGTGGCCTCTCGGGGCTGACACTGCAATGCCCAAATCTCCTCCTGGGCAGCCTGGAGGTCCCGCAGGGCATTCCGCAGGTCGTGCTGCAGCTGCTGCTGCCTGTCCTGCCCGCGCGCCGCCTGCTGAAGCAGCTGCTCCGCCAGCAGGCCTGCGGTGTCGCGCTCCTGGCACGCGCGGCCCAGCTGCCCAAGCACGTCGCTGTTCTCCGCCTCCACCTTCCGCACCCAGTCGGCCTGGGCCTGCAGCCGTGCGTTCTCCTCTGCCAGCCAAGCGCCCTTGCGCAGCGCTGCCTGCAGCTGCGCCTCGGCCTCGTCACCTCGTCGCCGCGCCGCTGCGGCCTGCGCGCCCAGCTCCTTGCACTCGCGCCGCCGCGCGCCCAGCTCGCACTCCAGCTCCTGCACCTGGCGAAGCGCCTCGTCGCAGGGTGCGCTCTGGCCGCCCGCCTCCGCGCGGGCGCCACCCTGGCCCCGCTGCACGGTCAACTGCCTCTGCAGGCGCAACACCTCCCGCTGGGATTCGCGCAGCAGCCGGTCCAAGTCGCTGACGTTGAGCCACTGCGTGCCAGGGGAGCCCCCTCCAGGGAGCGGGGCGTTGCCGAGGCCCGAGGCGAAGCGTGCCTGCAGCTGGTGGCACTCCTGCCGCAGCTCCTCGATCTGCTTGTCCTTGGCTTGTAGCGCGCTCGCCTGTTCCGCCAGGTCCCGGGTGCGCTGGCGCACGAAGGCCTGGCACAGCTCCAGGTCTGCGCGGCTCTCACCGGGCACCGGCGCGCTCACCGCCAGCAGGTTGGTTTCCTGCAGCTTGCGGGCGCGGTCCTCTAGGCGCTGCGCCAGGCCGGTCAGTTTCGCGTTCTTCATCTTTAGCCGCTTAACCTTCTCGTCCGCCTCGTTGGGGAAGCCGGCGCGCCGCAACTGGCTGTTCTCCTCGCTCAGGACCGAGCAGCGGCTGGCCAGCACCTGCAGCGCCTCGGCCAACTCCGAGTTCCTCTTCACCAGCGCGGGATAGTCCAAGCCCAGCGAGGGGGTCAGGGCCTCGCAGGGCTGGCTCCCCGAGCCTTCTCCGCCTCTCGGGTCGCTAGCTTTTCTGTGCTCCGACGGTGGCAGGGGAGCGGGCAGGGGCGGTGGTGGTGGCGGTGGTGGTGATGGTGGTGGTGGTGGTGGTGGTGGCGGCGGCGGCGGCGGCGGCGGGGGGCTTGGGGAGCCTGGAATGGAGGCATTTGGCAAGCAGGAGGTCAGCTCTTCGGCTTCGGAGCCCTTGGGACGACTCCGGGTGCTGTCGAACGAGCGGCATTGGGCGGGGGCCAGGGAGTCGACGGAGCTCGCGCGCGTGGGGAGCAGGCGGTCGGAGGAGCTGGAGCGTGCGGTGGGCACCAAGTCGAGGGAGCGGGAGCGCACGCAGGTGCCGGTGCTCAAGCTGTGGAGGGATCCTCGTCGACAGGTCGGCTCTGGGCGGCGGCTGGCGGCCTTGGGCGGCGGTTCTTCCGAGACACGCACGGCCTGGGGGCCGGGGGTCGCAGACAAAGCGGGGCGCCAGCGGAAGTGCTCTAGAATGTACTTGAGGAAGAGCTGGCGCTCTACGTCTAGCGCCGCCTGCAGGTAGCGTATGCGCGCGGCCTGCTCGCTGTCTGTCTCCCAGCGCAGCTGCGCCAGCACGTCTTGCAGGCGACAGCGGCACTGTGCGGCTGCCACCTCGGGCGCCCTCGCGCGGCCGCAGTGGCCGCGGTTCACCAGCTCCTCGGCCAGCTGACGCTGCAGCTCCCGGGCCTGGCGCACGACGCCGTCGCGCTCGCGATGCAGCAGCTGCTGCAGCTGCCGCATCTCGGCCTCCTTCCAGCGCAGCAGCTGCCGGATCTCGGCCTCGCGCTCTCGCAGCACTGCCTCCTGCAGCTTCCGCAGCTCCCGGCCGCGCTGCGCCTCCCACTTGGAGCGCAGGTGGTCCACCAGCTGCTGCCGCTGCCGCTCGCCCGCCTCTCGCAGCTGGCGCTCCTGGGCGGCGAAGCGTCGCCGTTCCGCTCGTCCGCGCGCCCGCTCCGCCTCCAGCTCGGCCCGCAGCTTCTCCAGTTCTCGCCTCTGCTCTTCCAGCACCGCCGCCGCCGGGCCCGGGCTACCCGGCTTCTTGGGTGATGCGCGGCCGCCCCCCAAGGGGTTGGGATAGTCCTTGGTCATGGTGGCCGCGGCCTGGCCAGAAGTGTGACCTCACCTGGCCCAGGCCGCCGCTCACCAACGGCCACCGCCCGGGCCGCAGCCAACTGCCCCGCGCGCCTCTTCCGGCGCCCCCTGTGGGTCTCCGCGCGCCCCTTCCGCCTCTGGGCGGGTCTGCCCCATCACCGCGGGCGGCGCTACCTGCACCCAGGCTCAACCCGGCCAGTTTCCCTCCTGGGATGCCCGGGGTCTCTGCCCTCTGGCTCCCCCTTTTCCTGCTCCTGGAACCATGTCCCTTGTCACCTCTTCCAGGCACACTCCCAAGCAGTGTGCAATCCCTTCCAGGCTGAGGTGCTCAGTGGGAAGCCCCTGACGCATCCTCTGGGACCTGGAGAAAGGGGCCTTGTGGCTGAAGATCATGGCTAGAGTGTGAGCTGACTGGGGCTGGCCCTGCCTGGGGTGGGGACAGAGTTCAAGTGGCATGTTTGGCCTGCACAGCAGGATAATGCCCCCACCTGAGGCCCCTCACTAAGGAGGGTGTTTGGGGTGGGTGCATTTGGAGAGCCCTTGTCCTTCCTGTAGTCTGGGAAGGGTGCCTGAAACCCTGACCTGCCTGTTCTTGATTCATCTTTGTATGTCCTGCAAGGAAGCTCAGAGAGATACGGTGCTCTCCACGTGTACAGAAGTAGCTGAGTAGGGATTCAAACCTGCAAATTCTGCCTACAACGTCCCTGGGCACTCTGACCCCATCCGCCCCAAGGCTTTCTCATAGAAAGGAGCCTCACATTTGGAGTTGCGGAAGGAGAGGGGAGTCAAACGGAGTCCTGAGTGGGAACTGCCAGTCAGAAAGGAGGGAAGGAGGTGAGAAAACAGAACTGCTGTGCCCCTCTGGCTCACCATGAGGGCCCACTCCACCCTTCGGTCTGGTCTGTTTACTGGCAAGGTAAAGCCCAAGGCCCCTGTGTGCTCAGCCCAGTCTCTGTGTCACCTCCCCGGAGATAGCAAGGTCAGAGAATCTTCCATATCCCTCCAAGGGGCAGTGTGGTCTGGTGGTGAGATCTGTGAGCCTCTGGAGTCCAACAGCCCTTCAGCTTCCTGTGTCACTTCTATGCCCTTATCTGTAAAATGGGCTAATAGTGCAGCCCACTCAAGGCTGTGCGGCCAGGGAGAGTTCCCTTTCCACTTGGAGACTCCATTGTGTTGTGTGAGGGTTCAATGAGGTGGGATGCCTCGTGACAGGTGGAAAGGGTTGGAGAGACCTGAGTTTCCTTCCGGGCTCTTCCACGCTTTATCTGGGTGACCACAGCAGGTTATCACTTCTCCAAGCCTCTGCACCATGGACATATTGATAGCCACAGTCTCCCAGGGTTGGAGAACATGGGAGACTTTGTGGCCCGAGGCCAGGCGTCGGGTAAGAACTGCATAGAGTTCTGTGTAAATTCCCAGCTTCCGTCCATGGCTTTGCCTTGGCCCCTGCAAGCTTCTTACAGATGCCCGAAGAATCCCTCTGGCTCTTGTTTACCCCTAGGCCTTTGTATGTGCTCTTCCCCCTGGCAGCACTTCTCCTGATACAAAGACAGCAGACCCCACTGTGGACCAGGTACCTACCATTTGTCTTGCTCAGTGCTAAGTGCAAGCCATATATTCTTATTTGAATCTCTGTCTCAGTTAGCTAGTGCTGCTATTAAAAGAAATACCACAAATCATGGCTTTAAAGAAATGTATTTTCTCACAGTTCAGGAGGCAAAAAGTCTGAATTCAGGGCACTAGTAGGAAACCCTGGTGACGTAGTGGTTAAGAGCTACGTCTGTTAACCAAAAGGTTGGCAGTTCAAATCCACCAGGTGCTCCTTGGAAACTCTATGGGGTAATTATACTCTGTCCTTTAGGGTCACCATGAGTTGGAAATGACTCGACGGCAATGGGTTTGGGTTCTAGGGGAAGACTCTCTGCGGCTCTGGGAGAAGATCCTTGTCTCTTTCAGTTTCTGCAGCCCTTGCGTTCCTCGGGTCCTTGATGATCCTGGCATGGCACATGTCTTTCCCCATTTGTGTTCACTTGTCTCTGCTTCTCAAGAATGATAGGTTTAGGATACACCCTATACTGACATGGCCTCATTAACATAACAAAGAAAATCCTATTTCCAAATGGGATTACATCCACAGGTATAGGGGTTAGGACTCTAAAACATTTTGGGGAACACAGTTCAATCCATAACAACCTCCTATGCCCATTTGACATAGGAGAAGTCTCAAGCCCCAGTGGATCAAGAATTTTGCTCAAGGTCGTCCGGCTGGTCAGTGGGTCCCGCATAAGGCCTGTTTCTGTCCACTCACCTGCTACTTTGTCCTGTCCTTCAGGCTCAACTTAGCAGTTTCCTTCTCCAGAAGCCTTCCTTGATTCTCCAGGCTGGGTCACTTCCCAGAATGAGCTCCAAGGAGAGGTAGGTGGGAGAAGAACCCAGGGCCAGGTGGGAAGGAAGGGCAAGAGGACACTGCCTGCTCTGCTCTACCTACCTTCTATATTCAGCTTACACTGGCTTCACAGACATATCCAAACTCCCTGAGGGACCGAATTACTGGGATGAGGGCCGGGGACCATGGTCTTGGGGAACATCTAGCTCAACTGGCATAACATAGTTTATAAAGAAAATGTTCTACATCCTACTTTGGTGAGTACCGTCTGGGGTCTTAAAAGCTTGTGAGTAGCCATCTAAGATACTCCACTGGTCTCACCCCATCCGGAGCAAGGGAGAATGAAGAAAACCAAAGACGCAACAGAAAGATTAGTCCAAAGGACTAATGGACCACAACTACCACAGTTTCCACCAGACTGGAGTCCAGCACAGATAGATGGTACCCGGTACCACCACCAACTACTCTGACAGGGATAAAAACAGAGAGTTATAGACAGAGCTGGAGAAAAATGCAGAACAAAATTCTAACTCACAAAAAAAAGACCAGAGTTACTGGTCTGACACAAACTAGAGAAACCCCAAGGGTATTGCCCCCAGACACCCTTTTAACTCAGTACTGAAGTCACGCCTGAGGTTCACTCTTCAGCCAAAGATTACACAGGCCATAAAACAAAACAAGACTCAGTGGGCACACAAGCCCAGAGGCAAAGAAGAGAAGGCAGGAGGGGACAGGAAGCTGGTAATGGGGAACTCAAGGTTGAGAACGAAAGAGTGTTGACATATCATGGGGTTGGCAACCAATGTCACAAAACAGTATGTGTATTAATTGTTTAATGAGAAACTACTTTGCTCTGCAAACCTTCATCTAAAGTACAATAAAAAAAAAAAAGGAAAGAAAAATTACCACTGAGATTAAACATTTTCCCACGTTTAGCTATATGTTCTTTTGTGAACTATGTCCCCAGCCTATTTGTCTACTGTAGTTTCTATGTTCTTAATTTTTACAGGCTCACTGCACAGTTTCAAGATCATTCCTTAATCCCTCCTCCCAGAGGGAGTAGAAAGATTTCATGCCTTACCTGGCTTCTTGCCACCATAGAAGTGAGTGTATTCAGCACAGGTAATGTACCTGAAGAAGAGAGAGAGAGAATGTTACTACTATCATAAAATAGAGTCTTTGGAAGTAACTGATGACCTAATCATTCACTCATTCACCAAATGCTCATTAAACACTTAAGTGCCAGGCACATAGTGATGACACAAGAGACGTGGGGATGCACACACTAATACAAAGTCCTGGTTGGCTCTGAAAGAAATCAGCTGAATTTAAAAGAAGATCTAGGAGAAGGAGCTGGCCACATGAAGATCTGGAGGAGGAGCTTCCCAGGCAATGGGACCAGCAGGCATATCAAATGTAAAACCCCTGAGGCAGGGAAGAGCTAGGTGTGTTCCAGAAGAAAGCGTATGCCATTGGAGACAGTGTGCGAAGGGAGGTGTGGCAGCAGATGAAGACTGAGACACAAGTAGTGGAAGTTGACAGAAAACTGTTAGAGGGTTTTGAGTAGGACCTTGATATCACCTACCCTAAGTCTTACAAGCATCATTCTGGATGCTGTGTGCAGGGGACAAGCAAGAGAGGAAGAAGAAAACCCACTCAGGGGAAGACTATAAAAATTCAAGAAGGAGCTGGCATAAACTCCACCTGGGGGGAATGGGATGGGTGAGGCGAGCCGGGAAGACTGGTGATAGGCTGGAGGTGAGAACCAAGAGAAAAGGCATCACAGCCAACTCCCAGACTTTTTGACCGGAGTAAACTGAGTGAACAGTGGTAAGGAAGGTGAGATAGGGAGAAAGAGGTTCAGGGGCTAGAAATCAAGAGTTCAGTTTTGGACATAGTCCATTTAAGGTGTCCATCATACTTCCAAGTGGAGATATGGAGTAGGCAGCCAACTACTGCCAAAACTGGAAAGATCAGCTTTTGGAAGACTGGATGAGATCACCCAGGGAGAACGTACATGGCGAAGAAACCTGGGGCCTGCTGACCTACAGAGGTCTGAGAGAGAAGGAGGAGTCTAGCAGGGGAGACAGAAAAAGAGGCTACAGAAGAGAAGGAAAACAAAGAGCAAGTGGCATCCCACGTACAAAAGAAGGTCTTCAAAAGAAAGAAGTGGTCAACTGTATCCTCTGCTGTTGAGAAGTCCAACAAAATAAGGACTGAGAACTGCCCACTAGCTTTGGTATCATGGAAGTCATGGGGACCCTGAGAAGTGTAGTTCTGACAAGGATGCGTTTATCACCACCCTTATTCAACATTGTGCTAAAGGTCCTAGCCAGAGAAATTAGGATAGAAAAAGAAATAAAGGGCATCCAAACTGGTAAGGAAGAAGTAAAAGTATCTCTATTTGCAGATGATATGATCTTACACACAGAAAACCTCAAAGAATCCAAAAGAAAACTACTGGAACCAATAGAAGATT